TTTGAGAAGCATCCATCCCAACTAAATCTCTTTGAGAGACTCAGTAAGTGGGTTCTGATCAATCACAATATTGGTTGAAAAAGCTTTTCCCCTATCACCACGACCACCAGTCAGATTGCCTGGATATACTAGGAATTCCTCCCCCTCTCTGCAGTGCATGTTGTGGCTAATATTTTTTTTAATTACCTATTAGTTTTTACCCTGTGGTGCACTTATTCCCTTAGAGATTCCTAGAATTAACTTGCTGAGAAGCATGGCAGCTAACCAGTTTCATTTCCCTATTAAATTGTTTCCAATTGTTTTACAGAGATCATGCCACTATCTTTAGGCTTAAAGCATAGAGCTCTTGGTTTGTTGACTGTGCTAGTTTCTCCTGTCTTGTCCGGGCAACTTCAATATTTTATTTTGTCTGAGATATTAAAGCAGGGATTCCTATTCTTGTTGAGCCTGTGGGCACTTCTGGAATTTTAAGGATGGGTAGTGGGCACTGCCTTGACCTGGATAGCTTAAGCTAGTCTGATCTTGTCATTATCTTGGAGACTAAGCAGACCACCAAGAAATACCAGGGTCACTGGACAGAGGCAGGCAATGGCAAACCACACCTCTCAATGACTCTTACCCTGAAAACCCCATGATTGGTTGCCACATGTAGGCTGTGACTTGATGGCAAAAAAAAATAAAAATACTGGGCATCAAAACAAAATGGCTGTTATGGGGGGCAATCACAACATGGCTGCCAATCGGTATTGAGGCCAACCACAAAATGTTTGCAGGTTGCAAACTAAGCGTCTTCCTATGATAGCGTAACCTGTTATTGAATTAATACTCCAGGCAGACACTAAGAACCTCATGGACTCTTCTGAATCATCCCCTACTCCAATGAGGTGGAGAAAGCCAACACTGGGGGTGTGGTCACAAGAGCAGTTTGCCAAGGCAGTATATCCACTCTAAATAAGCCGCTTGAGTTTGGGATGCTTTGCATCGATCACAGAGCACCTCCTAATATTTTATTTATTTATTCGTTAGATTTATACCCTGCCCTTCCTGCCGAGGCCAGCATCTTAGGGCTGCAGGCCCGTGGTTGGTCATTCACATTGCTAATGCACCACAACCATGGACCTGCAGCTGGGTTGGTTTTTTCCCTAAGTCCCACTGTGCGTGCACAGAAGCAGACAAGCACACACGTGCTCATAGCCACGTTCTATGGGTGCACTGAAGCACACATTGGAATGGGATTGAAGGGAAAAGGATACACCAGAAATGGAGTGGAATGATCATACCACTCATGCGTTTCCATGGTGCGCCTGGGTGATCAGACACCCATAAACCTGTCATGGAAGCATCTCACCGAGGTAGCCAGGCTATCTAATCAACGTGGGAGACATTTTAGTGTGAGGTAGCGACGAGTGGGGCACAGGAGCCAGATGTGTACGTTTGATCACACCCATTTGATCTGGAGGGGAGGGGTGGCTATGTCAGGCCAAATTGCTTGTGAGCATACCCTGGATCTTTGCTTTGAGGAAGTGATGGCTTGATGTAGAAATAAATGGGCACCAAGTCAGCTCCTGATGGGTGCCATATTGGGGATTACTATGTTAAAGGGCTGTTATCATTACAAGAATTTCACTTTAACTGTACTTTTCACTATGCCCATCAACATCTCTCTCTCCCATCTCTCTTTTTGCTTAATCCACAGCTCAAAGAGGGGTTCTGTTGAACTGAAAAGCTTGCTCACTATTTTGTGCCACTTATGTTGCTCCTGCTCAAGGATTTTGGACCAATACAACTATCCTGCAATTTTTATCTTCCACGTGTATGTAGAGATAATCACACTGAACATTCATTATTGCATGAAGATCTGATTTTTTTAAAAGTATATATTAAACAGTATACATTTTCACAAGATTTGATTACAAACATCATCCTTTGCCCTGTAGTAAACCTTGCCCCTCTCATTCAAGTGCTTACCAAACAACAAGAACAGACAGATTCAGGAACAAAAGTAGCTGCCCTGTCTATGTTCAGTCTCATTAAAACACACATACACACACAAAATGTCCTGTTGACAACCTTATCTGCTTTTAAATTAATCCCCTTTCTGCAATATTTGAACTGTGGCTTCTTACTGAGAATGCAGCTCTGTTTGACACAGAAGCAAGTGCTTTTTCCTCAAAGCCATCTCAGCTAAAGACTGTATTTCTCTAACTCTTATTCCTCTCTCTCTCTCTCTCTCTCTCTCTCTCTCTCTCTCTCTCTCTCTCTCAAAAACACACACACACACACACACACTCCTCAACACTTCTGCCTATTCAGTTTAAGGGAGATAAAGAAAACAGTTTTAGTGGGGGGAAATCAAATCACTAAACTTGTTAAAGGGAAAGTCTGAGGCCACTTTCTTAGACAATGTCTGCTGATTTCATCAAGGTCTATTACACAGTAAGACCCATTATCTTCTGTTAACTGTGTATTTTTGCCAAGGGCTAAAAGGCAGCATGGAGACCTGCCTGACTTCACATGACAAAACACAAGCACTGAACTCTTTCTTTGCACTGAAAACACAATAATTCCCACTTCAGCTATTAAGGGAGCCATCTCTCATCACCTGTAGGGGGGGGCAGCAGAACTTGAGCTATTAGGTCACATCATCCTTTTTCCAAGTCTTGATCCTAGCTGATGCTATTAATAGGCAACATGCAGAATGCAGGAGCAGTAATGAAGTTGGGTTGGGGCTTCTTACATTACCATTATCGTCTAAATCTTCTGTCCTCAGAGCTCTGATGCTGCTAATTCTTGCCTGCTGTCTCTTACAAGCTCGCAAATAATTAAAAACAATCCACCAGAGTCTCCTTTCCAAATCCTTAAGGGGGGGGGGAGCCCACAGCAACTGATTGATGAGAAAACCCTGATACTGCAAAGCTCCACAACAGAAATTAACTGTTAAGCCCACATGGAGCTCTGGAGAAATCAGAGCTGCACAACTGGGGTGGGACAAAGGGAGAAGATGATCTAATGTTGTGCAGTGCATCTGGGAGGGGATGTTGATGTCACCCAGAATGGCAGTAAACCCTGAAGCCTATATTTGACCTTAATTTGGTCTGAGGTCAGTGCTGCCTAATTAACAACCCCCTTTCCATGCTGTGAATAGACAGCATGATACAGATAAGAAAAATAGTGTTCCTGGGACTACTGTAAATCTAAGTCAGCAGTATCTGCCACACAGCTCACCAGCAGCATAAATACAGACCACAGGTCACGTAGCACATTCTGCTGCTCTAAATAATCAGTCCCCTGACAACCCTAAGAAACAGAGGAGGAAATAAATGGATGCCATGATTGGTTTAATGTTTGATGCAGACTTACAGTCAGCTTTAACAGGCAAGGAGGAAAGTGAGATTAGCCTGCATGCATGTTTCATGCATACACTTTGGTTTTTATACAGAGTCTTCTTCCAAAGTTTAGCATTAAAAGGAAAAAAATTCTTTCTTTCCCCCCCCCCTACGATAAGTCTGAAATTATAGACAAAAACTGCTTACAGGTTTTTGATATTTTCTGCCACTCCTGTTGTGTACTGCGGATCTGTCTGAAAAGGAAAATTAAAATGTGTGAAATAACATCCACACCCAGGTTGAAAAACACATCAGTACATGCACGCTGCATCTAATAAAAGCAATCTCTAGCAATATTACTGTGGCAGTCATCTGGATTATAGCCTCTTGACAAAGGCTAGTCAGAATCCTGTATTTTTAAGTTCTTTGCTTCAGAATATTGTAGCTCTGTCATACTCCATAAAAGTATCCTCATTATCCTCATAGCTTAAAATTGCTTCATAGGACAACCTTCTTTCTATCTTTCTACTCAAGGACAACCATCTTTCTATAAATACACATACCTGCTCTCCAGGATTTCCAGTATCCTAACACCTTAAGTTATTTCAGTTCCTGTACATCTTGCTTCTTCAGGCAGTTCAATGCTCTGAACACCATGTCTTATTTGCTCACTGGTAGGGTACATCTTATGACTGACCTAAAGATAATATTATCTGATCCTGGTGACTTCCCATAATGTAGTACAGCTGATACACCAGAATTACCTATGAATTGGGGAATTTATGTAACAGGTATGCTGGCACTGTTGTGGAAACTCACCACACCACTGGGTGTTATACAAGTGGGGGACAGGGGGCATCTCATTTCCCCCTCCTCCAGTATTTTTTCTTTCCCTTACCTGAAAGATTCTATACCTTCTCCCTTTTTCCTGTCTCCTTCTCTCCCTCTCACCTACTTTTATCTGCCCCCCTGTTTTCAGCTTTCCCACCTTTCTGCACCAGGCCAATAGCCATGGGGGGCCTTGGGGCTATCCCCCCTCCCGAATCTCCCCTGTCCCAAGGAGGGGGCTGGGCTCTTTATCTGCCCCCCTGTTTTCAGCTTTCCCACCTTTCTGCACCAGGCCAATAGCCATGGGGGGCCCTTGGGGCTATCCCCCCTCCCGAATCTGCCCTGTCCCAAGGAGGGGGCTGGGCTGCAGCCAAGCAGGAGGGGAGGGATAGGTGCAGCCTCGCTGGGTCTTTCAGGTTCCACAGCCAACTTCTCAACTTTGAGAAGTCCCTCCCCTCCTGAGGTGGCTGGGCTAAGCTTGATGAGTAGGTGTTTAGACTGCACCCTTGGCTCTGCAGCCTTCCCCGTCCCATGCCTTAAACAACAGAGGAAGCCCAAAATCCATACCGCAGTAGCCTCCAACTGGGAAAACCACGACCCATGTGCATGGTGCTGGCCACCCAAGTGGGCCCTGTTGCACAGTGGGAAACCTACAAGGACTTGCGGGAGGTACCTCATTTCCCCCTGTATCACCTTCCCCACAATATTTCCTCTTTCCAGCCTCCTGGCAACTCTTATATCCTCACCTTTTCCTGCTTCTTTCTCTTTCCAACCACCAACCAACCTTTTATTTGCCACCCATCTTAAGCTATTTTTATTATATATTTTCTTCATTTATGTGCCTTCTTTATCTCCAGTGGGGATCCAATCAGCTTACATCATTCTCCTCTCCTCCATTTTATCTTCACAACAACCCTGCTATCTTCACAACAACCCTGAGAGGTAAGTTAGGCTTAGACTATGTGACTGGCCCAAGGTCACCCTGTGAGCTTCAATGGCAGAGTAAGGATTCAAACCTTGGGGTCCCAGATCCTAGTCTGAAATTCTAACAACTACGGCACATTTGTTTTTGAGGGCTGGTAGCTGTTGAACAGTAGCAAGCAGCCAGTGCTGAGTAAATCATATAATATGTGACCAGCTGTTGCCAGGGCTGGCCCCAATGAGTCTTCTGTCAAATGTCAAAGCAGTCCTGGAAAGACCCCTGGCCCCTCCCCCTACTTCAGAAATCATGCCTGAAATGCTGGCAAAACTGTACTGGTTGCCTAGCAATAGCTAATGAGGGCATTCATTTCTTAAAACCACAGGTGCTCCTTCTGTAATTTGGGGGTTTTTTAACCTCCCCATTTTCATGGGGTTTTTTTACATTTCAGATTTTTTTGCAAACCTGGAGAGCTTTTCAGGTTTGTAGAAAGCTCTGTCTTATCCATTCATGGCTGCAATCTCAGATTTTGCTAGGTTGAGAATCAGATATATTGATGAAGACAACAACGATGTTACAGCGTGATACACAGAGTCTCTATGGGATGGCGCAATGGTTAGAGTGCTGGACTGCACTTCAGGAAACTCAAATCCTCGATTGTCACAAAATTCACTATGTGGCCTTGGGCCAGTCATTAACTGAACTTACCTCACAGAGTTACAGTGAAGATATAATGGATGAGGGAAAAACCTTGCAGAAACAGAAGGATTAAAATGTACTAAAATAAATATACAATGTTTCATCATGCAGATCAGGTAATCTGTAGGCCAGACTTTAAAAGGTGGTCTGAATTAAGAATATTACCACATTAATACTATTCACTTTCCTTCTATGGATAACAAATCATGCTATATATTGTTAGAAGTTCTGGAGATATTTTACCAAAGATTGTTGTAGCTCAGAGTATTCTACCCCATAGCTAAGTCTGCAGCCATATGTTTTTGAAAACAGAATTTTAATTTATCTTCTTCTCATTTAAAAAGAAGGTGAAACAGTAGTCCCCCCCCCAAAAAAAAAGAAACATGAAAACTGGCAAAGAAAACTCAGCTACCCGTACAATACCTGTAAAAATATACACACATTTAACTGTTTTTAGTTGACCATCTCTTCATAATTCTCATAAAAGATTCACAAATTGATTACAACAGAAAATGGAGACATTAAATGCCTTGCCTGTGCTCAGGGCACACCAATCAGACCCCCTAAGGACTGCTTGACATGTCCCCTTTTCAAAAGAGTTTGACCTTCACATCATAAAAAGCATGTTGGCATTAATGAGAGGGGCAGTATGAGTGTCTTCTCTACAGTAAGATGCATGCAGCAGCTCCCCAATGTATGTATTAAACACCAGAAAGGGATTCATTATGCCTGTCACACATTATTGCAAACATCCTTTGCTTTGCAAAAATACATAAATAAATAAATCCCCAAACACATGAAGCAGCCTTGAGTTTTGCTTCTGCTAAGCAACAGACTATTGTTGCATGAACAGCAGGTATTAGGTCTTAAAGGTGTCAACTTTCTTCTGATTAAATGCAAAATCAAAAATCCCATCTAGAAAAAAGTTATGCAGATAAAGGTGACATTAAAGTCAGCAAGTTGACATTAATAGTTGAGATTCTCTCGGCAATGCCACTGAAGGCTCTTTTGTTCCTCAAAGGATTTTTGGAAAGAAAGACCATTTCGTGTCCACAATAAATAAGTCAAATAGGGGATGCCATGGAGAGGGGAAAAGCCACATGAACCTCAAGAGAAAATGAAGCTATCACAGATTAATGTGCTGTGGCCATTTTAATCCAGAATTCAAGAGCTAGTTCTGATGGGAGGTATTAGAGTAGCAAAATGCATAGCCCTCGGTTTAAGCCAAGCCTTTCTTGGGATGTTAAGCAGGTGGCGGCAGCAAATGCACGTAAGCCTGTGAGAACAAGGCAATTTCTGCCAGCCTTCTTTTTAAAAACAATTCAGTCGACAGCTGCCTAACATTCTGTAAGAGCAAAGGTCAACAAGCTGAATGCAATTTAAATTAAAGAGATGTACACAATTGCCATCTTGGCAGCAGCCATTCAGCCTTCTGCTAACGTATTGACCCTCCACAGTTGAGTGCATCCAAGCATTGTTTCACTTTGGAAACAGCCTGCTGGGCCCCACAGGCGGGATGTGCCCGATGATCCTTGTCGGACAGCAGCCCAAGGTTGGACTTATCTCACTGAGCCAAAGGAGAAGTTGGCCCACCGCCATGCAGAGACACATCCTGCTGCTTTATGACTACACACAGCCTCTTGGATCCATACCAAGTCCCTCTCAGACAGACAATAAAGGGATGCAGAGCTATCAAAGCTGGATATAGAGGTGAAAAGATCATTTTACCTCGGCAATCAGAACAACAATGACGGAGTCTTCCTTCTCCTGCTGGTTGAGCTCTGAGATCAGAGAGTTTAGGGTATCTGTAAGGTAGGAATGGACCTCTCGTTTGACACTGGGGATTCCCATCACTACAGATACTGTATAGGAACAAAGCAAATCATAGTTGAAGTGATCTTGTTGACAACCAAACACACAGCATCTCACACTCTTTCCTAAGAACTCAGTTTCCTGTTCTTTCTGTTTTCAATAAAGTTCTCCATGTGTACTCCCAGATTCATCATGAACAGCTGCACAGTGTTGATCACTACAGTGATTACAAAACTGATGTTGGCACAGGGACGTTCAACACTACATTGCTCCTAACTGAAGAAGAATCTGTCCGACACCTTTCATTCTAGGCTAAGACTTCAGAGAATCAAGAGCACATGACTTCAAATCTACCTTCAGGAGAATGAAGTTTATTCTGATTGACGAAGAATGAGGTAGACAGACCCTTGTATTCTGATTGACGAAGAATGAGGTAGACCCTCGAGGGAGTGAAGTTGTACACTCTCTCCCTTTCAAGCAGGGGGAGTACATCTCTGAGAAAGTGTCTCTCTGGGGACATTTTTAATGTCTGTAACCGCCATAGATACACATCGCGCATGCTCAGCCTGTGCAGATTCTCTGCACCACATAGCAGGTAATTGTGAGCTGAGCCCAGATGACAGAAAGCACACAAGCAAAAAGAGCAAAGCTTGTGCTGTGTTGTTTCCAAGAACTTCCTTCTGCATTTCCTGTTAAGCGCAAACATACAGACACACAGGAACACCAGAAACTCCTATGCAGACATGTCCTTGGGATGAAATAGCAAGTCATTTTCTAGTGGCAGTCAACGTATAAGTACCTGGATGTTATGCATAACCTTCAGGGTCAACGTACATATTATGGCTGTCAGATGGTGATCACTTTTTAAATTGCTCCATCTGGGTGACTGCCATTGGGGAGCTCTTCCCTTGCAGTAAGACTGGTTTTCTCAGTACCAGCGCAACAGTCCAAAAGGAAACACTTGTACTGATATGGCCCCAGACACACAAGAAGCTGCTCACACAATTGGCTTACTCCACGACAACGGCTCCCCAGGGAGCAACTGAAAGTGACCTCCACCCGGCAGCTGTAACATCTAAACCCAGCCCCAGTTCACTGATCCTAATATCACAATGCAGCAAACAACCGGAATGAAATTAACGCCCTTGCCTGTCTCTGATAACCCGCTCAGGACTGTGAAAGACTAAACATGGATCATCCAGGAGGGAAGGGAAGTGACCTAAAGAGGGGCGAAAGCCATGCCACTTACCTCCAGTGCGCCCCTGTCCCACATGCACAGCAGGCTGCAGGCTGTTCTCCTTTGATAGCAAATGTGGCAAATGGTGAAAGATGGTAGGGAGATGCAGCACATTCTTGTTAGTAATATTCCACAGTTTCAATTTTGTTTCATCTGAAAAAAAGGAGAGTGAAGCGTTTTTACAAGAACATTATGGAGAGAGACTGTAAAGTTTGAGAGCCATACCCACTTCACAGCACCATCTGGCCAGCACAGATTATCACTTCACTTAGGTTAATCAGTCCAATCTTCTTCACTTGCACCCACTAATCCCATTAAATTTAGCAGGAATTACTTAAGGCTCAAGATGGATGACATGCCCTCCCTCAAAATCTTTTGAGATGAGGAAATCAAACCCTTGGCTAAGAGATCTGGATTTGCACCCAGCATTTTTGCACATGGTCTTCACTTGGCACTTGGCTTTCATGGCTCTAATTTTGTAGAGTTAACTTAGTTACTAAAACTGTGCCATTTTGGGAGATTGCTTTTGAAACCTCCAGTGTGTGTGTTTAAACAAAGAGAGTATGTATTTGGAACACAAAATCTAGCTGTCTAAAGTGACAAGTTGTTATAATTTATTTTAACACATGACCTCTTCATCTCTCATTTCGAAATGGGATTCTGCATGCCTCTGGTCACAGTTGTGCATCTTTATAAATAAAAAATGTACAGAAATAAACCTAAGTATGTTCTAGCTACAGCCTCTCTGAGGTTAATTAATTAATTATCATATGGTAGTGTGTGTAGTATAGCCAGAACAGCCTAAGATTGTCTGGCAGCCAGAAGGTCTAGCTCTTTTAGTATTATGCACCACTAGGTGGTGAGCTAGACTTGTTTTTAAGGCAAGAGATGTTTCAGGGGTGGTTTGCCATTGCCTCTGCACCACGCCCTGGGAATTCCTTGGTGGTTTCCCATCCAAATACCAGCCAGGGTCGACCCTGCTTAGCTTCAGAGATCTGACGAGATCAGGTTGGCCTGGGCTATCCAGGTGTGCCAACACCCCCAGGGGCACTGAAGCTGCAGAGGTCACACACTGCATTCAGCTTCCTGTCCAGCCTAACCTGTGTGGAGAAGGGCTTTCAGTTAAGGAGGGAGCACCGCTGTCCAGACTACCTATTGAAAGCCACTGCAATGTGAAGAAGCAGGTGAAGAGTTCCTCAGAAAGCATGAGAAGCAGGCTATTTCCCCACACGTTATCTGCTCCAGGTTCAATGCTA